TAAGATTTGCTACAATGATAGATTTAATTCAGTGGTAGAAGAAGAATATACAAAAGCTTAAATTAAAGCTTCAACTTCATGGGTCTAATCTTAACTTGTTCTTTTAATGAATATTATATTATATCCTCAGAATGCAAAGCAGTACTATTAAAATTGGAAATTAAAATTTCAAACTTTAAAACATGTTTGATTGAAATTATAAATACATTCTTATATGTTTAATTATTTTATCTTCATATTTTGATTTTTCCAAAATTCACTTTTTACTACATTTATATTCACCTTTATGTACATCATTGCAACACGATAATGTGCACATGCAATAATATATATATATATATATATATATATATATATGCTTTTCTTATTTTCAAAAAAATTCTAAAATTTTAAATTCATGTTTATATGTGTAAATATGGAAATAAAGTTTTCAAAAATATTAATTCTCTACAAAATAATTAACTACCTTCTTCTGAGATTTGATAATTTGTTTAATACTGGTTATGACCTAGGGGTATTTTAAAACATTAAATCCACTAAACTTGATTAATTAGTATGTGATACAATACTTTTCAAATTCTATGTCATATACAAGAGAGTTTTGATTTTCAAAAAATAAAATACAGATTAATTTTTACTTTTCATTATACATTTTACAAGCCCAACTTGATGTTCTGTTAAAAAGGTTTTAATGGGTTTTAAAATTCCTACAATTTTTTTTTTTTCTTTCTTATTCAAATATTGCAAATAATTTCTAGTGTGTTGAAAAAAATTTTTTTTTTAACAACTGCCAAAGATATAAATCTATAAAAACTGTCAAAAAAATACAACTTCTTATACAACTAAAAAAGACGAAAAAGATCAAGAAGAGATATAATAGTATAAGAATTTATTAGAATGACTAACTCAAAGTACAAGAAAATTAGTTATTTTTACTTATTTCTAGTTGATCAATTATTACAAGAGATTGACAATAAAACTACTACTCAACTTTGTTATTTTGTTAAATTGTTTTATTTGTGCATTGAAAAATTACTTCAAAGAGCTCAAAGCTAATATAAAATATGTTCTTATAAGAATGATAGGCTTGAATTGGAAACAACATGACTAGAGTCATCAAAAAATTCATTATATATTTCATATTGCCAATACATGATTTACTTCAATTATTCAATATAATATATTTCTTACACACATACAAATTATTTTTAGAATGTTAGTCCTTCAACTTAAGCTCGTATTAAATAACATAAATTTTTTATTTAATTTTTTTTTATTATTCTAATTAATTCACCTAGAAAGAAATTAGATTTTAATCTTTTCTGTGAACAAAGAATTAAAGCAATCTATCCAATTTCTTAAATAATCTAGCTTTAATCAATAATACAAAGATGAGAAAAATCAAAATCTTTAATTTGTACAAAATCGAATCTAATCTCATAAGATGTGTTTTTATGATTTTAAAATAATCATAAAATAGAATAATAACATAATTTTCTACAATAATTAAATCAAATTTTGGTGACAAGATTTTAAAATTTTTTGAATTTTATATGTTGTTGTTGCAAGTGTTAAAAAATCACTTTAATTTTTAAAATTAATTAAAATATATTATCTACATTAGTAGTAAATATAAAAACACTTCTATATATTAGATATAGAACAAGTCTAAGGAAAAACATTACAAACATTTCTTCTAATTATAGGTCTTATGGATAAAAATGAATATTCCATTGCAGTATTTCAAAAACAAAGCCATTTACTAACATGAGTTGAGCCTTTGGTACCTTTCTTATATTTAGTTTGAATTGAATTTAATAAATTTATCCATTATATAAATTGATTATTAGATAAATTAAAAATTAAAAAATAGGATTTGAAAGCTTACAATTAGGTCTTGGATGGAAATTCTCTTCAGATAAGGCAAGAATTTTAGGTCTTCAAAAATAAGTTGCTATTGCATCATAAAATTAAAGTGCATATATTATTAAAATAAAATAAAATAAAAATCTTATAAATAGAATTATAAAAAAAAACTTAGAATTTCTATTAATTTATTTTTTGAGTGATTTTAGAGTTAATAAATTTTGTATTAATAAGCTGTGAATGCCTATGTATACATATTTTCATAATAATCTTCTAATATTTTAAATAAATAAATACATATATATATATATATATATATATATATATATATATATATGATGCATATTAAAAAACCCAATTAAGTCATGTAAAAAAAACCAAAAAGATAAATAAGAAAATAATATTTTAATATCAAATTACATCATTTTTTATTTTAAGAATAATAATGATTATAAAGTCAATTTTTATTAAAGAATGCATTATTAAAATAAAAATATTTATAATAAATAATACATATATATTTTTATGTGTATATGTTAATGTAAATATATTAAAAAAAAATCACTTAAATTTATGAAATTAGATATGGATTAAAAAGAACTAATATTAATAGTATTTTTGATTAATTAATAATCAATCTAAATATATTAAAGAATATATATATCTTTAAAAGATGGTATGTAATTACTAAAGTACTTTGTCAAGATTCTATATATAGAGTATTTTGTAAATAAATATCACCTACGTTGATTTTCTAAAATTCATAATTAGACATAAGGTCATGCTTTAATAATAGCGGCTATATTTGATGGACAAAATATAGAAGCATAATTCTAATATTTTTATGTTTATTAAAACTTCTTTAAATAATATCAATAGTAATTTATAATATTAATATTAGGTGGACATATTATAATATTTAATTTTTTTTGTTTATTTCTTAGCTTAATACATTAATTTATCCATTAAGTTTTTTTAATACTAGCTGAATGTGTTTTATCATTTAATAAACTACTATATAAGGATTTTAATTTTAAAGTTTTACATCTTCTATTTAATTAAATAATTTTTTTAAATTATAGATTAAATCATGAAAATATTTTATTTTATATTTTTATTTTGAAATATTTTTATAAGACAAATTTTTTACTAAAATCAATCTTTATAGTTGTAAGACTTAATACATTATTAAAATAACTCTTGTTTTTAAATATTATTCTTTAGATAGTTCAAGGTTTCAAATTGATCCATCACATATAGGCTTGTAAGAGTGGCTTGCAAATTACACAATGTTAATATCAAGAACATTAATATTTAGTTTAATTAATAGAAATAGATAAAAGTAAGTAGAAGTAAGTAACTTTGATAATATCTCATGGAGAAGCTTCTTAAAAGCTTCATAAATGTGGATTTGACTTTATACATGTTTATGGATGATAGTTAAGTTTGAAACTTGGCTAACAAGTTTGTCACATGTTCTAAATAGATAAAGATGATTAAAACTTTAAAAATAATGAAGATAAATTAAAAGTGACTATTTATTGATAATAAATAATATGTTTGTAATACCACCAATTTTTTTTGGATTAAAATATGAAACAATTTTTATTTTATATTTAAAAGATTTAATAAAATTATACAATTTATTTTAAATAAATTCTAAAACATTATTAATAAAAATAATTTATTTCTTAATTATTAGTTTATGACATAAATTAGACTTATAATATAAAAAATTTAAGTACAAGCTTATTATATGGCATATATATAATTTAATCTTTTTTTAGCATAATTAGATTTTTTTATAAATATAATAGATTCCATTTTATAATAAAAATTAATTAAATGATATTTTCAATGATAATAATACATTAGACTAAATTCAAGATATAAAGAGTTGGTAACACCCTATTGGTTTAAAATCTATACTTTACAAAAATATAAAGTTTAAAAGAAAGACTATTATTTTAACAAAAATAAGTCTTCATTTTATACCAGGTTTAGGGTTTAGGGTTTAGGGTAGATTTACAGATAGATATCAAACACTTAAATTCTGTCAAGAATAGAAAAAAAAAAAAAAAAAAAAAAAAAATGCAATGTTTGTGGTAAATAAATCGATTAATATGAGATCCTAAGTTTGATTTCTAGCATTAGCATTTTTTTGGATTGCTATTTTTTTTTTTTTTTAATTGTAAATGAAGTTGGTCCTTTTGGTTGAGATACAACATTTTTATTTAGTCTCATCATTCCTAAGCCAATGAACTAATACAAAGTAAGAAGCAAAAATATTTTGTATCTATTCAAATCCTTAAATTATATAAACATTGTTGCAAACATTAATCTACAATATGTCTTCTCTAAGTACAAACTTGATACCTAACTTATCTCATTGAATGAAGCCCTAGAAGATTGGAAATTACTTATAAGAGAAATAAGTTGGCATGTGAAGGAGAATGTCTATTGCTTTGACAAAATATCTCCTAAATTGGTATCTTGAATGAATATTGCATCACAGAATTTCAACCACAACCATTTACAAGGATTTTGTCTAATCTGCTATCCACCCACTACCCTTGGAAAGCATGCAAGCATTGGGCAAAATGTATATTTTTTTTGTAGATATTGAAACATTTTCATTTCCTATAACTAACTGAAAAAGTCTGTACAAGTGATTGGGGGAACATACTCTCACCACAAGGCTCAAGGTTTGAGCCCTAATGGCACCAGCTGTTGCATTTATAGAATGTGAATTTGACCTAGCCACAGCCATTCTTCTTTCTCCCACCCCTTAGTCTGTCCTCATCTACGAGCTCTCCAACCTCTAACATTGAGTTCCCAATTTGTGTGAATTCCCAATTTGTACAAGTAGGTACATCAAAAAAAGAAAATTAGCATTGCCCAAAATCCATGAATGAATGAATCTAAAAAATTACCAAGTCCTAGTGTGGGAACCTTCTGCCCTAGCCGGATGTCTACCACATGACATTCAGGGTTTTAACTTTTCTCAAGTCTCATGAGGATTAAAAGCCATCCTACGCCTTTATACCTACAGTGTGGTAGTATTGTTACTTATGCTCACCTCATTCACAACGGAGACAGCAAGGAGATTTTGTCAGGCAGAGGGACACTAAAAATTTACATGACAAAATAATCTGCTATTCTTGAAACTAGCAAATGTCTCGGATAGATCGTCATTAAGGAATTAGTTCATCTTTACAAATCAGTAATCTGCATCCTCATGATTAGAATCATGAGGTAGTTCATTCAAGCAAAAACTACGAGCAACTAGCAACTCAACTCATGGGACAACAGTGGACAACTAAAAGTCATGACCCTGAGCCCATTCTGTTCAAACTTCTGTATGGTTTTGTCCAGCGTGAACTTTGTTTTATCCTCCCTTCGAGGTAGTAAGTTGGATGTAGTTCCTCGTCCATTCAGGCCTCAAAACGGTTACCTGCGGTATATATTCCAACGAACCATGTTGAAATGAATGCCTGTCAGCAAAGGAGTTGCGGAAAGGGAAAAGTTCCACACTTGAATGGTAGAGGACATCAGTCTTTCGAGAAATGAGGAAACATTGAAATAGAGATGTTTGGCCTAACATCAGGGGGAACACTAAGAATTACCAACTGAAACCTTGATAAACTATTCCGAGCTTCAGTCAATGAGTTGTTTCCTAGAAGAAACTTGCTTTTTACTTTCTTGAGACTTCTCTGCATGGTCGTGGATTGCAAGCATGAGCTGCCAAAAGTACAAAAAATTTAGTGAGCTTCGATAAATTGATTGATTGAACTTCTGAAAACATAGTATAGATTCTAGAAATTTGACTCATGAGTTGAATTATACAGGTCTTGAAAAATAATGGTCTGTTCTACAGTTGTAAATGAATAAACATTCCAGAAAGTACTATGCAAGACAAGCAATCAAGAGGACGTGCTTATTTCTGCTGGTGAACAGGAGATACACATGAATCATATCTTTCAAGCTGATTGTGTCTGCCGATATCTAATTACAGGGGTAGCCAAGTCATCCGCCAAAAAGGAGAATTTCTAGAACTTGCACCCAAAATGACATACCTTCGTTCCAATGTAGAAGGAGAATACAATGGCGAGAAGAAGTGGAACATCTGTAAAAGTACAACCAACCAGCTTCATGAGTTTTTCTGCCAAAAATATTAAGGAAGCCATTAAGATCTGATGACCTACAGTAGATAGCATCTAGAGAATGTCTTGAATATAATCCCCAAATAGTGCGGATAAGGAGTGAAAGAAAATTTAGTTACATGAAAAGAACCAGACAATACAAACAAGTCGAAGTACTAATTTTAAACTTAAAATCTTCATTTGTTACTCACTTTCACGAGATAGCATACGGGAAGCCAATAGCTTCATGCCATCGGGACCAACCACAAAGCCCACAAGGTTTGCGAGCTGCACACAGGTAGTAATTGTTTTAAGCTACTAAGCGCAAACATCTAGAATTCCACGTATTGAAACAACAAAACTTGATGGATTGAAACCTGTAACCATAAAAGTAAGGGAAACAAGTTGTTAACGAGATGACTCCTCAGTATTGATGGAAGAGCAGCGTTTTGTTGATGAAAAGAAAAGAACTATAGCAGTAATTATTCAATACAACTCTGAAATTCATGTGGTGATACGTTACCATGAGGCCGGTGATGTTGAGTGACCCTGCTAATGCATGGCACTCCCGGTAAGCGTTTGTCTTCTTAAAGCTTGCCATCTGCTCAACCATCAGAAGCAAAATGTCAAAATGTTGACAAAATGTCTCACTTGAAAATCACCAATAATTAGAAATTTCGGCATCTTAAGCTAATATTGAGATTTCATTAGCTCATTCTGCGAATTTACATTGAAAACCTTTCATTGCACAACACAGTCGAATAGGAAAGAGAGTGGATCGAGTGACGCACTTGAGGTGTGCGCATAAGAGATTTCACTAGCAACTCCGGACCCCAGAGTACACACGTCACCCACGCCCATGAAAGAAGCCTCCTGTTAATGCAGAAATTAGAAAAATCACATTCAAAGATTGGAAAGTCGGAGCAGGTAAGATGAGCGAAGCAAGGCGGGGATCAAACACCCCAAACCTTTGAGAACATCTTTGCCAAATGTGTGTTTTTCTTTTATAACAGCCTCCATGTTGAAATGGTAGCGTTAAGTCCAATCTCGAGAGATATAAGTGCAAATTGAGTGCCATAGCCCCTGCATAATCAGAGATGATAATAACCAATCTGCAAAATGTACTCACCATTCAAGATCATGCCAGATTGCCACAAAAGTAAAGATGATCCACACATTGAGGAACCTCCATCGGGATCCTCCAAGAGGAATGTACAAGTATCTACCGAATCAAACACAATAGAGTCAGCAAGTCAAAGACAAAAACTCATGCCCAAAACCATGGTGAAAGTGGAAATTATACATAAACTATTAGAGTAAATTTCAAAACCAGAATGTTTTATATTCACATATTCTGGTACTGTTTGTATAATCGACTAACACAAAGAAAGTGTCTCAATACTTTATAAAGTTGCGCTTGAAAATTGATTTCCAATTTAACTGGTCAGAAATCATAATACAAGGATTGATGTTACTCAAATGGTGGTCACTTGGTGAGTTAAATCATAACAACAACAACAAAAGAAAATCATGAAATGCAAGAATATTTTGAAAATACCTCACAAGATAGCGATTATAAGAAGCGTGCCAACTTTTCCAAAATGTTTCCAAGTCACAGCAATTGTTGAGGCATTTGGTCATATTTTCTAGGGTTTCAATTCCATCGATCTGCAATAATCGCATATATAACAATAAGAATGATATCAAACATGGATCAACTGAAAACATCTAACAAGTCGCATAGAACTGGGCATACCAGGGCCCAAAATCGGAAGAAACGCCAAATCAGTAGGAATTTGAGCCACATGAAGTTCAGGACCTGTCAAAAACCACAAAATGAGCTAGTGTAAGAATTATTTTGTTGAATAATGCGGAAAGGGGTTTCGGGAATTTTAGTGTCCAGAAGCCAAAAGCTACGGGACATAATCTAAAAGAATCCAAAGAGGGTGCACTAATTGCTCAACCTACATTGAATTTTTAACTTCCGAGAGGTCACAAACTTAAGATATATGGTATATGTCTAACTATTAGAAGCTGAGACAACTTAAGAGGCAGCCTGCTAAAATAGAGAGAAACATAACTTACTCCATATCCAATAATGAAAATCTCAAGAGGTGATAACCTTTGCCAAACACCACTGCATCACCAAAGCATGATCTGAGGTATTGAAATGTGTGGTTATAGCGCCAAAACAAATCCATGCTATTGTGAATAAAAAACCTCCATGAAGCGTGAAGCACGAAACAATGAAATCAAGGTCTAAGATACATTTGACAGGGTACAGCAACAGACCTGATCGCTAAGGCGTTGAAATAGCAATGGTGGGTGAGAAACTCAATAAGCAGAAAGCACAAAAGCCAACGCAGCCCATAAATTGCAATGTCTTTTCTACTGTAAGCCTTCTGAATGTTTTCCAGCTGAAAAATTAACATAGACCGATCAACTAAAATGATTAATGATTGTGTGAGATCCATCGTGATAAGAGGCATGTTGTTGTATATTTACAAAATCAATGATTTACTCGCTCAAAGCATAATGAATCTCAGAAGCAAACAAGGCTGAGGTGTGCGCATCAGTGACAGCAATAGAACCCACAGGTCACCCTTACGATACTCGGGAAAAGGGTAGAGAGAAGACCTGGGAGGCAAAAGCGTTGAAGGTGATTATAGGTCCAGCAATATACAAGGGTGCATAAAGCAGATACGCCAAGTAAGTGACAAGATTATACTGAGCTCCAGACACTGGCTTCTCCTGCAATCGCAGTACAATTTTTTTTTTTTAAAACAGGACACCAACAATGTGAATAGGACTCCTCCTAATACCCTTTCCTATTACAATTGCTATCACTCTTAGCTTTATATGGCTCAAAAGCTTATAATTTATTATCTCAGAGATTTGGTAGATAACGAAAGGTTTCACAAACCCACCCCTTTTCCACTAGTTTCGTACAGAATATATTAGCTATTACCATAAAATTGAACAAAGACTACTAGGCTGGAATGATAACATCGCATTAACATGTGACATCATTAGTTACCCACTAATCGCAGTACATACGTTACCGATGCCAGATTTTCGTGTCTGACAAAATCTCATCCTACATCGTAAATCCAATAAGCAATAATATCTCAATAGGGTAAATTATCCACTTGAAAGTACATTAGAAAGCCAAACCTAAGTAGAAAAAACTGGAAACTTTTATATGCGATTGACGTGGAGATGAAATAGACATAATCTTACTTGTCGTGATAAATAACAAGAAGACCCCTCAGTTCCAGATATCCCAGGCGTGCAAAGCTCACATTTCCGCATATGGTTCTGTAACCCATCCCCATGTTTGCAGACAAAGTCGGTTCGAGGCAATATGCACGTTAATTTCAAATTGAATCTTGAGAAACTTCACTATGTGGAACAAGTTTAATAAATTCCGTCTGATGCGTTCAAACCACTGTCCATGTGGGCAGGATTAAGACAACCATTTCTGTGAAAATCAGAAGCAACAAAAACGTGGTCTAGACAAGTCAACCACGGATTTTCAAATCATCTCCTTTTGCACATGGATATCAAATTGTGACTTACTAGAGAAAGACTAAGAAATTCCAAATGGATTATGGTATCTGTAACGTCTTCTTTCAAACAATTTCATGACTTCCAAACCAAGCAAAGGAGGGCACTGCAACCAACCTCCTAGCTCATGGATGAAGGACGAAAAAAAGACAGACCTCCCAATTGATAGTTGAAGGTTGGGAAATTTGCGCCCAATGATAGTCGAGGCCAAAGCTAACCATTCGCAACATTACTGCAATCAACCCAACCCAGGATATTAGGAAACCAGTAAATTATGCACACAAACTGCAGCTCTAGAACAACAAATCTAGCACCTCAAGGTCACTTATACACAATATTGCAACGCATTCTCAGAGAAAAAACTCATAGACACGTATTAACAATGTCTGCGAAATAGTGTTTCCGCTACTATCATCACCTTAGAACATCGAGAAGAGCTGCGTCCAAGAAATAGTGAACCACAAGAACCAGACATGAGAAAACATATCATACCCATGTTGAAGCTGATATGCCATCTTAGTGCACCCCTATGCTGATCCAAGAAGGCGAACTGCTCCCTGCAACACCGAATTTCTTTAACTTAATTGAATGTAAGATTCACGTCGTTTAGATAAGATAGGGTGGATAAAAGCATACATTAAAGTCTAAACCACCAAGATTGGCTGCTCCGTGCTGCTTAAAGACATGAGGATCAGAAACTACTGCATCAAAATTCAAAAGGTGACATCTATGCAGAATAGGCAGGAAATTCTCACCCAAAAGATGCGAATTTATAACCGCTGTACAGACGGTTGCTGACAAGAAATGTGAGGTTGTATATCCAAAGAAGGTAAGGAAAAACTACTTTTCCTGCCAATGCCTGCTCACACCTTCAACACGTCAACATCATGGCTTGACACAACTGGTAGAAGGATTCAAATCAAGTCTAGGAACTACTAGTATCTGGTTAGAAAGAACGACCGTTCAAGGTTTGTACACATTCAGACTCAACGTTTTAAAATTCATGAAAGCAATCTGCTGTGGAAGTGTCAATTTCGATCTTTAGTGCTTTCAGCTCTCTTACAAAATCGCTACAGAGTTATCAGGTCAATTGAAGAAAAGTACATAAAGTTGAAAGATAGAGGATAAGGAGTACCTTTGTGAGGATGTAATTACCAAGAACAATTGCTAGTATGAAAAGAACGCTGCCATGCCAGAAAAGCAATTAACGAGGATTCTTAAGGAACTAGATTTTTTTTTTTAATCTGATAACTATCCACCCACAACATCGTGTCCAGAATTGACTAGTACCAGCATCAATCTGAGAGGAAACAGAAAGATGCATAGAGTATCATTTTACATTTTCATTTATTTTAACAAGCGATAACTAATGGAACGCAAGCTTTCACCAAATTCACTCTGTTAGTTCTGCACTTACCAATTTCCGTGCAAATAGATTACATATACTGATGAGGCAAGTAGCCAAAACCTCGCCATTCCTCTGCCCTTCAAGCCTAGACTCGTCCTTAGGCATGCTCCCAGAATTGAGAAGGCAGCCATGACTGCTGTCAAAGCCGGCAAACCGGAACGAAAGTTTCTCCATTGAGTGTCGGAAAGATCCTGGTCCAAAGTAAAAAAATTCCGTGGGTACATGTGAGATGTTAGACCAATCAAAAACAATCACAAATGCTCAACAAGTGTATGTGAAGTCCTGGAAAAGGTGCTCAACAAAGATCTTAATACAATTTAGGAAAAGCCTCATGTCACAGTAACTTGGCATGTGATCAACAAAAAAGGGCACGCAATACCTGCACCAATATAACTAAATAGCTGCTCACAGATCCTTACAAAAAAAAGGAATTTAGAATATATAGAGTAAGAGGTATACCATCTGGCGCCCGGCAATCCAGCCTGGTTTCAATCCATACAACCACCTTCCATTGGCGCCACTGGAGTACTCTGCTTCACACACACACACACACACGTTATTAATGAACATGACCTTGTTGAAATTCAATAACGCAATAATAAAACCTAGCTACAAAAACTTGCGCTCTTGCATTAACACGCTGATGAATCATACAAGATGAGGTGCTATGAGGCAATAATACGTGGACAAAAGCCAAACACAGATGAATCCAAACACAGGCAGCATGACAACAACAGAAAAGTCTACCATTCAACATGAAAAATCTATAACGACGTGCTTCTGAATAGCTTGACACATTGTGCAGGAGGTATATTGCTAGAGTCAAGAGCAACATATCATAATGCAGCGATGGTTAAAGGTTTAGGGGATGATTATCCTCTGGGCTCCTGAGACACAACCTACAAACACGCACATTAATAATGAAAGGACACATCAACAAGCCAGTTTTACACCGATCTGAGCTACAGAAAATTCTCTCAAACACTGATCACCTACGAGCCTTACCCAATCCACCTCAGAATCGACCACACAGACACAGAAAACCTCTGTTTCATTTTCCAGCAAGAAAAAGATCCACAAATCTCTAATGCGAGCTCAGCCATCCATAGCACCAAGCCACTCATCCCTTGCACACGGGCAAAAGCAAAGATCAAAACCCATGAAAAACCGAAACGGATACAACCACAAAGATTTTGAGCTCAGAGCTGCACCAACCGCTGGAGGTGGCAGAGCTGCGCCAGAAAACAAAAACTTCAAATAGAACCGCGTACGCAATACAAGCGTAAAGCTCCATTCCCCGCCATACCGATTGTTGCTTCCGAGCCACCACCATTTCGGAAATAATAAGGGTAAGGATCGCGATCAAACCACTTCGACCCAAAAATCCCAACCCCTACAAACAAACAAAACAAAAGATGATCCTCCTCACACTCACTCACTGGGGTTGCAAAACCGAATTCCTTTGAAAACCCAGTTCGTGCGACATTCGGATTATTATTGTCCCCTTCCCCTTCCCTCCCCTTCCGCGGCTGCCGACATCTCTCTCTTTTCTCTCTCTCTCTCTCTCTCGTTCCCAATGAGGTTCGAGACAATGTTCACATAGTGGGGAACATTAGAGCGTATTGCAGAATTGAGATGAACCCATTCCATCCATCAATGATAGGCAGGAAGGAAGGAATCCATCCCTGGAGGAGCGTTGTTTTTCAGAGGTGGTTCTATGTGTCTGTTCCTTCGTTTTCTCTTCCTTCTCTATTATTAAGAGTGGTGGTAGTGTCCATGAATTCCAAGCCAGAAGAAGTTGGGTGCAAGACCCATGTCTAACCATTCTCTCCCTTGTAGTTTTTCTGTTTAGTTGCACAATAAAAAAAAATAGAAAAAGAATGTTTTTTTTTCAAAGGTTTGTTAATTCACAATCTAAACCATCTTATTAATATTGCTAGAAATATAATTAGGCAATAAATAGATTATAATGCAAGTTTTTCATGATTGCCAATTTTATGGAGAGAAAAATTTAAATATAGCTAATTGATGACAACTTTTTGGCAATTTAATATCACTATTGTCTATAAAATTTGGTATAGAATAAAACTAATGCTTGCTATTATGCTTATTTAAGAAGCCTCTAATTAGACTAAGAGAAAATTTCAATGAATATGTATTTTTTTATAATAATTTAATTTTAAATATAATTTTAAAAATTAATTAAAAACTATAAAAACTAAAATTAAAATTTATAATCATATTGAAGTCTCTAAAATATTCTAAATTATTAAGAATTAAATATTGATAAGATAAATAATTAAGAAAATCCTAAATCCAAAATTTTCTAAATCCTAAAAACTTACTTTCAATTATTTATCTTATTACAGCTTAGAAAAGATAAGTAAAGACTATGCATACTATTAAAAATTAACAACATATTTTCTTATGGACTTATAAAAAAGAGTAGTGTTAGTACTAAAATAACTTAAGAAAAAAAATTAATGCAATAAAAATAATAGACTAAACCTAATTGTTTCAAAGATTGTGATAAATGTCTTTTTAATGAGATGGATTCTTAAATTTATTATGTCTAATGAATCTAATTTACTTATCTTCATATGCTATACAACTTAACAAATATATCTTTTTATAATACAAAGAAAATTAAATTAATTTTTTTATCGCATGACTATTTTTCGGCCAAAATATCTATAAGATTTAAGATAAAATAAATAAATAATAAAATGATAAAATAATAGATAAAGACTTAAAATAAAAATAAAATAATAAAAATATATTTAAATAATTCTTATATCAAATGCAATAGAAGTTTTATAAAATAAAATCAAAGAAATATCTAAAAAGAATCTACTTTGATTTTTTTATATTATAATTATAAATAATATTTAATAATTCGTGATCAAAAATAAGAAGAAAAATAAATAGTAGTTGTTTTCTTTCTTTTTGTGGAAACAATAGAAACATTAATACATTGCTTTTGGAAATGCCATGTAATAAAAATAAATTAGAAGAAAACAATTAGTCAACTGCATTAATTAATTAAAAGTGATTAATTAAAGGGGGGTATTGATAAATGCTTCTTCATGTCAAGGATATGAAGAAATTATGGCCTTTTATAGTAAAAACTTGTTTTTTGATTATATAAAAATAATACAATGTCAAAAGATTTAAGAGTATAATCATCATATAAAGTTGTCTTACAAATTAAGATAAAACTAACTAGCTTTTAATTATTTCTTGAATTTTCTTATTTTTATTTTAGATCTTTAAAAGTGTATTTTAGAATTGTCTTACAAATTAAGATAAAACTAACTAGCTTTTAATTATTTCTTGAATTTTCTTAATTTTATTTTTGATCTTAAAAAGTTTATTTTAGAACTAAAAAACTAAGTATAATCAAATTAAGTATCATATGATAAAATAAAAAAGATATAATTCATGACTAAAAAAATTTGAAGTAGTCTTTTAAATCCAATAAATTTAATATTTGGTGATTAAAAATAAGGAGACACATTCGCAAACAAAAAGGTCTATTACATGCATCATTATGGATTTGTTGCACCTACCTTCATTTCATCCTTCAAGTTCCTGCCTATAGCTATAATATTAAGCTAGCACACTTAGAGATAAGATATGGTTGGACCACCATATCTTCTTCTTCAAGCATATAAGGATTGGATCCATTAGATTAGGAGGGATAATAGCAAATAGATTCAATAATTATCAACAATATGAATTTCAAAGAACCAAAAAATCAATATACTCTTATATCACTTAAAAAGAATAGATATTCACTTAAAACTAATATAGTATTGAAACAAGAATGGCTATTGCCAAAGATAAGAATATAAAAAAGTCTTGAAATAAGACAATGGATTAAAAAGGCATTAATAAGAGTGAAGAAGGCTTCATTCTTGCTTCCATATATATATTATCTAATTAGGAGCTTTGTAAAGGGATTCAATTGTTATCTTAAAAATATAAATAATAGAAAAGGAGGTAATAAAAATTAATAAATATTAATAATAATTTCTTAAAGAAGAGACTTCTAATTACTTTATAGATGCATAAGTTAGCCAAATCAAAGAAATTAATATATATTATTAATATAGGCATTTTAAAAAAAGAATTAAGAATATATTTTAGTAAAAATCACCTCCAAATATAAAGAATTGATATTTAGAGAAGACCAATTATAAACCAAGATTAAAATCAGACTCCAAGGCATAAAATCGTGCACCTTAAGTGACTCTGAGATTCTATGATTGATCAAAGAATGGATTTACTTCAAGACTTGTAAGAAGATTTTTGAGAATTTATTTCATGTGATTTGAAGGCATATTGAAGTTTTGAGGATTTTTTAAAGTAAAAGATGTAATCGATGGATTTATATTTTGTTAAATAAAAATAAGTTTATAAATTTGATAAATTTTTAAATATTGTATCATATTTATAAATAATTTTTTTGATTTGTCACTGTAATTGTTTTAAATGTGTAAAAAACAATTGGTGTCAATTGAACAGTTAGGTTGAAGGTTGTGAGAGTTTTTGTAGATTATGGTCTTTAATAATTAAAATTTAGGATCAATGAGGATTTTTGAAATCTTGCAATATTTGCTAGTTTAAAAAAGAAAAAATTAGTGAAAGCCATGTAGACTTAAAAATCTAAACACCAATCAAATTTTAAAGTAATTATTGGTTCAACAAAGAAAAAAATATTGTTAAAAGATTAACCTTCAAGTTGAAAAATGAAGGCTAGTAACATCTAAGAGGTTTTGGAAGTTTTGCTTTCAATTAGTGAATTTAATTCTTTTTAAATTTTATATGCTTACTAATTATGTGAAGATTGAAATCTAAGTAAAATTTCAATCAAGATCAATAGTTCAATTAATATTTATTAAAATTTTAAAACAACTACAGTATTTAATTAACATTTATTTAGGATTTTTTAAAAATTTTATTAAGATTTGATTAAGTTTGCTTATGATTTTATTATGATTTAATTCGAATTTGATTTTAAATTTAATTAATATTTAATTAAGATTATTTTAGAATTTATTTAAGATTGTTAGAATTTTATTAAGATTTGATTAGGATTTATTTAAGATTTTTATTTTAAATATTTTTAAAGATTATTATTATTTCTTTAAAGATTTTAATTTTATATTTCTTTATGATTTTTTTTGAGATTAATTTATAACTTCTTTATGTTTCTTTTATAATTTCTTTTAAAATTCTTTTGAAATTGATTAAAGTTTTATTAAGGTTGTTAAAAACTACTTAAAATTTATTTAAGATTCTATTAGACTTGATAGGTTCATATTATTTTATTTTCTATTTGTCTTCTATAATTAGATGTCTAGTACATTCTCAAGGAAGAATTCATATTATACAACAATATGCAACATGTTGCTAATTTATTGGCCAAGTTTTTAATTAATCAATTAATCTCAAATACATGTAAAGCCAAATATGCATCTATAAAGCTTCTAAAAAGCTTTGCCACAAGTTAATATCAAAATCTATATATTATCTTCTATTTAGTACTTTTAATCTATATAAATATATATATAATTATTATATTATTTCTTATTTTAGAAATGAGTTCTATGAAAAATAATAATTACATATTGAGAAAGTTCAAAATGATACAAATTGTGTTTGCTACATTCTTTAATCTTTGTTCTCTTTGAAGGTGATTGATAAGTCTTTTCAACCATTAATAGTGTCATATAGCAGGGCAAAATGATCATCTTAATATTTGATCATTGTTGAGGCCTTTGTGATTTCTTTCAAATAAAAATCTTTGAACATTCTTAAAGATGGTTTCTACTTCCAATAATATCACCAAGCATCAAGAGTCTCTTTTTAAGTTGTGATATCAAACATATTATATTTCACTATCTATATATCAAAGAACATGTTATTTTTGAGGATCTTTATTTCTATTGCATTGTCTTGAAGGTTATGATAGTCATAATATCTTTGTAACAAGATATAGATAAGATAATTACATAAATAATTAGAACTATAGAAGTTTTTAGAATTGAGATTAGATTAGGAGACTAAGTAAGATCCATCATGGAACATTATAGAGAAGATTTAAGGTGGTTACTTAGATAGGGCCCACCATAGAATCTTCTAAAAAATACTTAGGATAGTTACTAAGATGGAACCTATCATAGAACCTTTTAAAAAAGGAATTTAAGGTGATTATTTAGGTGAGACCTACTACCTAAGAACATTCTAGAAAGTCTACGATGATAGGACAAAGTATAAATAAGATATGCCAGGGCTTTTTGAGGCATTTGATCAGATATGGCTTCAAACCCTTTCTCTTGGTAAAGCTTGATTCTGTATCTTTCTATTCAAATTTCTTTTGTTCTGTTTCTATTTGCTCAATTTTGTCTTTCATGTTCTATTCTCTTTATTTTCGTTCAATTTTATTTTGGTCTATTTTTTCTTATTTTGTGATGAAGCTTTGTATTACTATGGATTAAAAGGAT